CGGCGAGGTACCCGGAAAGGGTGCGGAAACTTTTTCGCTTTAAACTTCGGGTGGGGGCGCAGACTACAAGTCCCAGGATGCTTCGCGCCAGGAGGCGGGGCGGGAGCCGTGCGCCTGCGCAAGGCCCGCTGGGTAATGTAGTTCGCTCCATAGGCGAGCTTGTGGTTCGGCTGCGAGGCCGCACTGAGCGCGGGAAGGTGCCGTCCCTCGCGGCCCATTGCGGTCTCCCGGGACACAGCCCCGCTCTGAGGGGAATTTCGGGACACACACCCCCCAAGCTCTGCTTGTCCTGCTGGGGCTGAGCCGAGGGGGGCTGAGGGGGGTGTGTGCTCCTGCCCTCCCTCAGCCAGGCCGCCCTGAGGCACCCGGGTGTGAGGTGGGTGCCCCAGGCTTCTGCCAGAGCTCTGGGCCTGAGCTCATCCCCTTTTCCACATCATAACGGCATAAAATTACCATTAGCATAGCCCCCTCGGGCATGTAATTTGTTTTCCAAGAGATGAATAATGTTAATGACACAGAACACATTTTCTTTTCAGCCTACAACATAAACTGCGTCTGGATCTGGCTGTTCTGCGAGTGACATCCCTCCTGTAGATCCCCTGGCCTGTCTATCTCCACGGCCAGAATTGCAGAGGTGCGTGCTGGGAAGATGTCTGAAAGGAGGAAAAGGTGTTCCTTAGTGTATAATGCCAGAAAAAGTATTTTATTGTGGATGCCAGCGGTGTCAGACATACCTCGGAATTTCTCTAGCCAAAGTATGAGGCAAGTACCATTACACAGAATATATGAATATACATTGTTTTGTTTCTCCTACCATCTGGCCTCTTCATTTGTTTTACCCAGTGAAGCCCCAGTCTTCTGCAGGGACTTCTTGACACTGGCAACATATAAATAATATTAGCCATGATATTTGGGAAACAATCTTTTCTTTTTCCCCCTTCCAAGTCTTTCATCTGCTCAGCTCAAGGAAGGATAGTCTATTTGTACCAAAGTGACACCAAAGCCTTCCGCTCCCCCGCCCCGAAAATTTGTCCCAAAGCGTTTATACAATGATCACAACGGATTATTGCAGCCTGTGTCAACTGACGCATTTCATATCTCTGAATCGATGCAAACATCACGTTGGTTGCATCAACAGAACTGCTCACATGTCCTTGATATATTTTCAAGCAATTTTTATTTGGATGTAAAGTGTCTATCAGCCAACATTTCAGCAATATCTGCCTTCCTTGGGGCTTAAGATATTGCTGAAGCACTGGCTGATAGCCACTTTGCTACCAAAAAAAAAAATTGCTTGAAAATATATCAAGGACATATGAGCTGTTCTCCTGAGGTATGTGACATGACGTTTATGCCTGTTTTTATAGATGTTAAACCAGTTTCTATCAGGGGTGTGCGTGAGGCCCTTGCTGGTAGCCACTTTGCTACCAAAAAAAAAATTGCTTGAAAATATATCAAGGACATATGAGCTGTTCTCCTGAGGTATGTGACATGACGTTTATGCCTGTTTTTATAGATGTTAAACCAGTTTCTATCAGGGGGCACTATTAAGAATTCAACATCCTGATAACTGTATGTTTTTAAGGGAATAAATGAACTGTGCGTCTATCTGTCTTGATACTGTGTAAGCACCAACAGGCTGAGGGTATTGAATTTTCTCTTTTTATGCACTGGGAATGTTTTTAGGGGGTCAAATTGTGTTTACTCAGTGATGCAACTGTTGTGGAAATGCCCATCTCCAAATCAGAAGCAGCTCTTCTAATATATTTGTCCTCTGTTGGGAGAGTTCTGAGAAAATACTCTTGTCTTGCTGAACAGAAAGATTTATATTTAGGAATTAAGGTTTTAACAACATCTATTTTCTACCAGGGGTTTTTATGATTGTTTTGTATGACTTGAAATTACAGAACACTGTAACATATGCATAGATTTCAGGAGGGGGAAAAAGAACAGATGGGCAGAATTACATCTCAAAATTGCTTTGGGTCATTTTGATGTGTCTGTAAGGATCACTGACTGTAGAAAGAGCAGGACTGAGGTACCCCAGAATTTATGGCTCCCCCATAATAGGTGGAAATGAAAGACTGTTTGCTGCAGGCCAGAGCTATCTATATGTCAGAAGCTTTTCTCTGTGGACTGTCAAACCTATCTGAGAGCTCTTTCAAGGACATTGCCAGATAAAAGAAGTATTAGAAATTAATGTTAGAAAAGGCTACAACAAATTTGCAGTCCAAAAATCATTTGTTAACGACTGGCAAATGAACTCATGTCTAGTTCACAACTCTCACAAGCAATTTGCAAATAGAAAAAGAAGTTCTTCTGTGTATAACTTCAAACAATTCATATGTTCACATAAATAATACGCTTATTTTAAGAGGAGTGTCCACCAGTGTGGTACACCTAGTTGACTACTATGTGGCACAGAAAAACCCAACCTAGTTTAAAGTAATGAGTGCAGGCAGCAAAAGTGATCTAAACATCAAAACAGAGCTCAGCGTAGAATTACTTGTTACTACGCAGTAGCGTTAATTGGTCTGCAGGGGTTCTGTGCAGCCAAGCCAGGAGCTTTGGATACGTGGGTTACCTCAAATACCTGCGTCCCCCTCCGATCCGAGTAAAACTCTTCAAAGATGCAGACGATGAAGTGACATGCCCAAGGTCATTCAGTGCCAAAGCAGCAGGGCATTGGTCTTCTGTATCAGTTCTCTTCAGTGGTTACTAGAGAGTACATCTCTACCAAGAAAAAAGATCACGCAAGGGCAGAATGACAAATAAAAACGTATCAATCAATACAACCCTATTAACTGCTTCTGATTCTTGTTTGATCTGAACCCGTTTCTGGCTTGTGTAAGCAGAAAATCCATCTCAAACTGGTAAACTTCAGGTATTTAATTGTCTATCTGAAAAACAAGCAGCATCTTATTAGGTTGAAAACGTTCACTTCTTGTGGTGCTGTGTGCTTTTCCACATACCCCGTATGTTCTTATGGCCAGATTATAAATTCTTGTTCCTTCATTAAAAAGCAATGTTGTTGTCCAGTCTTGTTTGTCCTTGACTGGACACGTTCCTGCATGGTAGAAATATTTCTTGTACCACTTAATACTCAAATTGTTCGCTATAAAGTATAGCCAAAGAGTAGCGAAGGACAGCATTGCCAGACATTCACAAACAAATAAATCCTAATGAGCCCAGGAAGAAGTGACTATTAAATCTCAGACTCTTGTCTCAAGACTTAAAAAATGCCATGAAAACCCTTGATAGGTGAGGTGACATATAAAGGCTCATTGCACACCTGCTGTGAGTTTTTATTCTGCAGAGGATCGTCTTGCTCGGTCACTGCCACGGTGAGCATGTTGTACCGTATGACTTTACTTGGTTATCCCTCGATGGTCATCTATTCCTTCGAAATGTTCAGCATGGAAGGACTTTGATAGTACCTAGGTTCCTCCTTATCAGCAATGGCCATTATAGCAAAGTCTGCAAGTTCTCAAAATCTGGAAATGACTCTTTCCTGTTGGATGCAACAGTCTGCAATGCCTTCTGCCGAAAGATGAGATTTCATGAGTCAATGATGTATCCTCAGTACATTCCTGGTCTGCCAAATCCTGCTCCTGATGGTGCTATCGGCTTCAGTACCTACTATAACTGCAGTCCTCAGTACATTCCTGGTCTGCCAAATCCTGCTTCTGATGGTGCTATCGGCGCAAGGTTCAGTACCTGCTATAACTGCAAGGCAAATTAAGCTAAACCATCAAATTCCTCTAAATGAGCTTTTCAAACGTATTTGAAAGCCTGGTTAGATAAAGAGCAGAAGACCTTCCCTTTCAATCCCAATTCAGCTCCTGCAGAGGCTGAAGGTTCTCGGCTCATCTCAGAATCGATGCTTCAATTGTTGCTTCGCTTTTCACAGTCTGTGTTTGTTCTTCTTCGTTCAAGACAAGAGTGTGCTTGAATTTGCCACATGGCCAGTAGCACCTTATCAGCCGCAGTTACCAGCTGATATCACACAGAGACTCCTATCTGCATGGTTTGGTTTCCCGAGTCATCAAGGTTAACAACCCGATCAATGAATAATGATGAATTATTCTTCTCTTTCTGAGAAAAAAAAAAAAAAGAGAGTTCAACTCATCATAGTCATTGTAGGAGCGAGGCTGGATTTCTGCACAGTGTCTGAGGCGGCTGCATGTGATGTGTGCTACCTGCAGGCCGCTTCCTCAAGATCATTTCTAGAGTACCTGGGGTTCTTTATTAGTCTTTATTTCTCTGTTGCCTACTGCGCACTGTATATTATGACTGCATGGATCACCCCAGAGATCCCTGTTTTCCACAGAGGGCAACCTGGATTCCATACCTTGAAGCACTAGCCACAGCAAGCCATTGTAAAGCCTATTTAGTTAATGTGGATCATGCCGTTCAGGACCCTCAGAGTTACCTATGGACTTCAAAGCATAATATATTAATATTATGTCATATTAATATGTGATTATTTATGTTGATATACTTTCATCTGACTGGTGTGGTTCACATCAGTAGCAAGTGAGCTGCAGAATTTGTAGCCAGCCTGACTGTCATCTCCAAGACCAGATTTGATTCATGGTCTCATTTCCCGTTTTTCCTCCCACTGCTCACAGCCCTTTTTTTTTTTTTCCCCTTCTCCATAGTCCATTTATTAAATGTAGAGTTAGAAACACAATTAGAAATTACTCAAGTCTATAATGTTTGAATACTAAATCTTTGGAACAATAAAAATTCTTTCCCAAGCCTGTCTTATCTGGGTCGCCTGTTCAGCTGATGAACTCGGCCTTCTTTACTGATTGAACGACTCAAAAAGAAGCACCCGATTTGATCGATTCCAAGCAATAACTGTGTGAATAATTCTGAAATTTCCAAGCACTGCAAAAAGGCCTGCAAGCAGAAAGGCACGGCAAAAATATTTCCTTGGCATTCTGTATACACCGATGGATGAAGCTGAAAAACAGAAGTGGCATGGTGCTAAGCACTGATACACCAAAAGAAAAAAAGGAAGTCCCAAACCGAGGAGGGAACGCAGTCTCTTGCAGACCACGGAGAGGGTTCATCTTGAATCTGTGTCAGGAAAAGTGGTTCCAGTAAGGGTCCTACCTTGACAACGTTTATGCATACAAAGACTATTGTTGAATATTGACAGGAATTCGGGCTTGGTTTTCAAAGGTGCCAGACGTGTGCCGCACGCATCCCT